ACTACTACTACTACTACTAATACTAGCACTCTACAGAAACTTTTGAATTGAAAACATTTTTTTGGATTTCGTGGTAGCATGTTTTGTCATTGGAAAAAAAAGCTTTTTTTGATGGGTTTTCACTCAGCCACAACCTCTCCGCACTCACCCGACCCCTGGGCGCAGCCCCAGCCGTGCTACTGCTACTATCATGGGCATTACACTATGGGTGCATGGCTACTGTTATCATTACATGCTCTCGAAAAGCTATTTCGATCATGGTAGTGGTTGGTGCTGTTTGGTGACCGTCATGGCTACCGCTGCAGCCGGTCTTGGGGGCTGCTACAGTCTGGTTGATTGTATCGCTGTTTTGACTGTAAGAAAGTCAGGACTTAAACGACCTGATCGAACCACCCCTGCACCGTCCTGTGTTGCGTAGACTCTATAATGCCTAGACCGTCGCCTAGACCCTATTAACCGTAAATCCTCGATCCAGGACCCTTTGGATCCTGGCAGTCCGACTGACTCCAGCCGGCCTTTGTTGGCTGCATAGCCACTGTAGTCTGTAGTCGTTGTACAGTCCACCGCTTGGGGTTTATGGCCGGAGCCTTCAACGCAGGCGCAGGCCGAAACCGCCGAAGAAGCGCAGGGTTATGGAGCAGCTGCGGAAGTATGATGAGCACGGTCACGGTCTCCTGACAAGAGAGGACGAGGTCTCTGACATGAAGGTGATCTATGTTTTCGGGCTCAGGGTCAGAAATAAAGCAATATGTGTGTGAGTTACACACTAATAGAGTTGCTTGCGGCACAGGCTTTGCAGGATCATGACTAAGGGTCGTGTCTACTTTTAGGAGAATACTTGCGTTATGCAGTCCAAGTAGACTTTCATGTCGCATTGTATGAGAGCTTCATAAAATCATACCTTAAGGTTATTACAAGGACCCTCGACCATGGACTCGAAATTTGTTGAAAACACCATATCCCAGCAGACCCCAGCCCTCAGCCTGCCAAGCTGTTTCTGTCTTACATGAAGACGTGCATGCTATCAATTAGATAATTCGCAGTTAGATGTCGGCTATGCAGGAGGGTCTCAAAACGAGTGCCTTGAGTGTTGAGCCTCGAAGTGCAAGTGCCTGGACGCAAAAACTATCCACAGATCCCCACAAAGCCCACCCGAGAAGCGTCGCTCCTTTCCATACAAGCCTCCCTCGAAGACTTCACGGCACTGGGTGTTGATCTTCAAGTTCGTTCGTGTCGAACTCGCAGATGTGGCTATGGGGTTTGCAGAGTCACCAATGTAAGTGGTTTGTTTCTTTTGCGGGGGAGCCGGGATGGTGTTCAACTTTTCGTGGTGGTTGTAAAGGGACGAGGGCAGACCGGCAGATACGATGGCTATCTCACATTACACATCCGAACATAAATGCCGTAATGTATGTATATAATGTAATGTAACGTAACAGAGTGTAATTCATTTTTGCGTATGTATGCATGTCTGTATGAATGTGTCTACGTATGTATGTCTGGCTGTAGGTACGTAGGTAGGTAGGTAGGTAGGTAGGTAGGTAGGTAGGTAGGTAGGTATGTGCCCGCGTCTGTGCCTGCCTGCCTCCTTTAGATGCTTACCGACCTCCCTGCCTGCTTTGGTGCATGCTTGCCTGCCTACCTAGATACATACCTGCTCACCGAGCAATCCACCTACCTCTACCAAATAGCATCTACCTACCGTACCCTACCTATCTGCCTGGATACTTGCATACATCTACATATACATAGATGTATACCATGTAGTGCAATGTAGTGTGTAAGGATGTTATGTCATATATCTCGTACGTAGCCTCTTTTTCTCCCTCTCCCTCTCTCTGTCTGGCTCCCTCTCTCTCTCTCTCTTTGTCTCTCTCCTTGTCCCTCCCTCCCTTCCTCCCTCTCTCTCTCTCTCTCGCCCCACATCTATGTATGTATGTATACATACATACATACATACATACATACGTACATACATAGCATACATATATGAGCATATGTATCATGAGGAGCCGAGTGTAGAAGACAGCCTTCATGAGACTTGCACCGATGCTGACAGTAAGGTGCTGCTCGCCATGTAAGATGTCATCACACTATTGTCAGGCAGGTTAGGTTCACCGCACCCCGGCGCCAGCACTCCTTCCCCGTTGCACCCGAAGACCGATTGCCATCACGATTGCAGCCGTGCCGTTGTTGTACAGCCTGGCCTGCCTTGCTTGCCTTGCGAGCATGAGAGCCCAGACGTTAAGCAACATGCGTACACACAAACACAAAGAAACCCGACAGTTTCCCAAGAAGAGTTTTTTTAAGGCCACATCAACTTCAGGAGCTCGAGGATCTTCGCGTGCAGGTGGCGGCCTTCTTGGCACAGCTCCCGTTGGGCTGTCAGAGGGTTTTTGAAGGGCTTCTCTAAATTTTCTAAATTTACAGGAAATTGTTTTTTGCTCGATTGTTCCCCACCCACGGTGTGGGGTTGTTAGATTCTGAAGTCAGCTATTACTCCTTGCCCTCTGAGACTACCTCCTGGAGTGCCTAACCCCACAGACTAGCGTGAGACTCCCTGGAGTGCCCAACCCCACAGACTACCGTGAGGGTGGGGATGTTCGAAGCAAAATAAATTGTTTTCTGATTGTAGGACTCCTATCGTAGGGTTCATAAGTTCTTCACGGTAGAAGCTGCTACAATTCAGAAGCTACGGGTGCGGCTCGGGTTTCAAGGCTCAGTCTGGGCTTAAGCTCTGGGGGGTGACGTGAACGAAGAAAGTTTGTTCAACAAAGTCAGGGGTCTCAAGAGGAGTTGGTGGTTGTGGCGCGGCTGTTCTGGATTCGTCCTTGTCTGGCTGCTGTTTTGCGGCAATGGGAGTCCTACAGTACTTAAGGAGTGTGACTTTACAAGCGGGGAAATTTCAGTGTGTACTATATAATATAGGCGATTCATGGCTATTTTGTGTTCCAGCTTGTGTGGAAATCCGAACCCGAAGCCCTAAAATCTCGACCCACAAGCACAGGGATGAGGCGCCTGGTAGCCTGGTAGCTTTTTCTGCAATGCGCCTAGCAGCCGTAATTTGCGCAGGCACAATATTCGAGTAACTGTCGTCATGCCGTTGACAACGGACTAACTTGCCTTAACTTTTTTCACTGCGGACTAGCTGTTCTGAGATGCTGAGCCATCTGGTCGTCGCTTCAATCGAAGAAGAGATGTTTTCAGTGTCGGAACTATCCAAGTCATGAGTGTTGCAGGATTTGTTGTCAGTTCTACAAACACTTGGAGGCAATCCCAACCTGAGGAGCATGCAGTCCATACCATTGGGTGAGGATGTCAAGACTCGAGCAGAGGCCGAGCCAGAAGTCTTCTCACCTTATGTATCTTTGGCAGCTATGTTTGGTATACTATGCCGTCCACCGTGTGCTGTGATCACGATTGTCGCATGATGTCATTCCATATGATCTACGCATCTCCGAATCCTTGAACCTGCCCTTCACCTTGGATCCGCGATACATGCAGACATAAACCCTACTCTCCGAAACCCTGCAAACCTAGAGCATCGTGAGCCGACAATCGCTTGAATCCTGAAGTAGCTTTCGGACCAAACCTCGTCAAAACAGAAAGTGTGACGAATGCAACTCCTGAGGCCGAAAGACGGCCGTCCGGGCTTCCAGTCGGGCTTGCTGGAGCTTTTCGTAGAGAGGGGCTAAAGGTCAGCGAGTATGCAGATTCATAAACACCGCCTGGCGGTTCCGAGCCGGACAGCAACTTAATCTCTGCACGTGAGCCACTTGAGCCAATGGAAGCTGCAGAGTAGGCACAAGAGGTCTCATCCCTTTGAACTTAGACTTGACAACCCAGTACCCTACAAAGTCTGCAAGCTTGAATGTTTATTTTGCGCATCGGGCTTGATAGACCTCTGGTTTCCGTGGGATGTAGGCCGTGCATGACCCCAAGCGGTGGGAAACCAAACCAAAAGACGCATTGCGAGATTACATAACTGATCAGCGACACCGCCAAAAAGCAATTCTAGCAAGGACCCGTTCGTTCGGCGCAGTTACGGATCCGGCGCAGCCCTGCTCGCTCCGAAACCACGACGACGACCATCGCTACCGTCACCCCAACTACACCGGAATCCATCGTCCTTGCCGTTGCCGTCAATACCTCAACTCGCACGGTAGGGAGAAGTAAAGTGCTGTTGCTTGGGCCAGATGACACTACCTCATCAGAGGGCTGGCAGAAGTCGTCAACTCATGGTCGACATCCTGAAGAACTAGCTGTATTGAGCCACGTGGCTTGGTCGTTGCCCTACAACTCTCCTCCAGGCCGTGCTCTCTCATCCTGAAAGCTCACCATAGGACTGGATCCTGGAACCTGGAAACAGAAGTGCACTAGCCGCCTAGCTGTCCAGAGACCTGTTTGATTATCCAAGGTCTGGTCCTGGACCGGCTACTAAGCCGTCTAGCTCATGGGGAGCCTTTGAGTGCCAGAAAGGTGCGCTTCTCAAGGGGGCGAGGGCGTCGCATTCTTAACTAGTTTGCTGCATCTACCCCTGCCGCTACTACTAAAGCCACTACCACTACTCCCATGACTACCAGTACCACTACTGCCACTACTACTAC